TCAGTGTCAGACACTTACTGACTAAAAACTACCCCGTTTCTACTCCTGTCCTTCGAGCCGGAGCCCTGTATCCCGTTAAGTCCTCTGCGGCGCCGTATCGGCATCAGCCCTATTGGGCCCCATCCGTGGTGGCCTGATAGCTCTATGAGGCGCGCGCGAAACGCGACGTGCAGTACGCTTGGGTATAGTTCTGGTCGAGCGGCGAGCCACCTATGCTCTCCGTCCGCAGGCCCGCGCTTACGGCTGCCTCACGCCCCCGCCTCCTCCTTAGCTAGCATGATTGCTTCGCAAAATGAGGAGACGGTATCCCAGTCCCTCTGGCACTGCGTCATGACCCTGCACTAGGGCCGGACGCGAGAGGTCACCGTTGCCGATCACGTCCCTGAGGCCACAGCGCACGCAGGGTATTTCCTTACTGTGTTTTCCATCAGACACAGGTACCTCCCGAAACCTCCATGTCCGGTGAGGACCTGCGTCAGGCGGTAGGTGAGGCGTCTTTCAAGCCACTCCTCAAAGAGGGGACTTACCGCTGCAATGGCAGTGAGCCCAGCCCTCGGTTGCGACAGTCGTTGCTGCCATTCCGCGATGAGATCGTGTCGGAGCTCTTCCCACCACGCACTAATTCGGCGCGGCAGCGGAGTTTTGCCCTAGCGACGCGGCTCCACGCGCAGACAGAACACGTGCGCGAGCACCTTTGAGCGGCAAGGAGGTTCGCCGCCTTCCCGGAGATCGTGCGGTATCCGCGGATTATTCGGATCGCCATACCCTTTGTAATGTGAGTAGCGCCCGTGAGGGCCGCCGCATCAGGTTCGAACCGTTTGGCCCCCCGATGTTGGGTAGGAAGCGCTTAACCACCGCCCCGTTCTTTCCAACTTAGGTGTCAAACGTCGGAAATGCTCCACGGAGTTCCACCGACTGTCGAGGACGAGTCCCAGGTACTTCATCGTCGTCTCGACGTCGATGGTAACCCCTCCCGCCATTATTTCGCACTCACCCGGAGGTGGCGCGTTCCCATGGTCATGAAAACACATGGCCTCGGACTTGTGGAACGCCACTTCGAGTCCCAGTTGTCGTATTCTACCAACGACTGCCGCAACCGCTGTCGCCATCAAATCGGTCACCGCCTGGTGCGACTTCCCATGCGCCAGCACCAGCGTGTCGTCGGCGTTGATTAGTTAATGTTAAGAATATGACGTTTCTCTTTTGGTTTTGGTGTCTCTTAAGTTCTCTCATTTATTTATTATTTTCCTGGTACTGTAAATACATACAATATTGTAACAGGATATGTGTCTTAAACTTAAGCTACAGTGTTCTACTATTCAAAATGGTAAATAATCACTAACTCTATTTACGTTATTTTAGTATGCACCGGCCATATCATTCGTGATACACCGGTAGACAATAGTCACTATGTGGAGGGAGTGAGCCGCTACGTGTGGATGCCTGATGCTGAAGGAAACTCCGTACTGGTTGACCTCGACGAGCCAGTTGACGAAGAAGTACTGAACGCAGCCAGAAATGGAGCAAACAACCAATACTGGCTGTTCACCCGGTTTGTAAACATATTACGTGACTACTAAACAAGTTCTCCTCCTCTATCACGTCTAAATACATTTTATTTTACTAAAATGATTATGTAAATTATATGAATTACTCACATTTTGAATGACATTACACGTTTGCGTATTTCAGGAGTAACCGTCATAATGCTCAAGTCATAACCCACAATAATGTCAACTCGATTAGGAACTCTAACTATAATGGTAACCGACCCTTGAAAGTTATCGTCCACGGATGGAATAATAATGGAAACACCGAAATGAACCCTCTCATCACACGGGCTTTCCTTGACGTCATGGACTGTAATGTAATTGTGGTCGATTGGCGCGCTGCTGCTAACTCAGCCTACAGCACCGCCGCTGATGCAGTCCCCAGTGTGGGACAACACCTCGGAGACTTCCTCACCTGGTTAATCAGAAACGGTGGCGGTAACTGGAACCAAGTACATTTAGTTGGATTCAGTCTAGGTGCTCATGTCGTCGGCAATGCTGGACGTAGAGTCGGAAATCAACCAGCCCGTATTACCGGTAAAATAATTATTTGTAACGAAGTTACTGCTTGCTGCGTTCTATAAATTGTAGGTCTATATGTCTGATTATTTTTTACTCGATGCCAGGTTTGGATCCCGCCGGCTATCGATGGAAGAATAACGCTAACCGATTGGCTGCTGGTAACGGTAGATACGTAGAAGCTATCCACACTGATGGTCACGGCCTTGGTATAATGAACCCCAGTGGACACGCTGACTTCTACCCTAATGGTGGTAAAAACTTCCAGCCTGGTTGTTGGACTAGCTACTGCTCTCATGGTCGTGCTACGGAGCTATTTGCCGCCACTGTTCGTCACAATCATTTGATTGGTAGACAGTGTCCCAACATCTGGGAAGCTGAACTCGGAACATGCAATGGAGCTTCCTTGCACATGGGTAACGCACTCTTGAACAAGCGTGGGTAAGTAACATTCATTTGAGTAATTAACTGTTCTCAAAGGCTTATTTTTATATTATTATCAAACGAGCAGACGTATCACCGAAGGGCAAGCAGAACGTTTTAAACTACGTAGCCATAATCATAGGAGTAAACATTAATTGTAACAACTACTTTCCAACTCGACTTTACGCTGACTTACTTTACTTTGAATTCCTTAAAAATCTAATACATAACGTAACGTAACTATTCAAATAAAAAGATAGATTCAATTATTAAGAAAAATAATATGCTATAACCAACTTTTCTTTTCAGAAATGGTCTTTACGCTCTCAGAACTGGATCAAGTGCTCCTTTTTAAACTACGGCTTCTATTTTCCGAAGAATCTAATACGTTTAAACGAGCAATTCTTGTGTATGTGTATATAAATATATCAACGATCTCGAGAGAACAGTTTCGGGGCGTTAAATCGATCTAACTAGGTTTCGTTTTCAGAAAATGTCGTTTTGTCCGTATTTTCAATGAATAAAAATTCTTATTAGATCATACGAAGCAAAATTTTGCCATTGCATATAAAATTGCTTACTAGGGAGAGCAAACGCCCTCTACACACGGACACTCGAGTTCAAACTTCGTTCTGAATGTTTCTATTATTTTGTCTATTTTCTATTTTATTCGTTCTATTTTGTTTTACATTTTTTGTTCTGTTTTGTTTTTCATTTTGTTCTATTTTGCGTTCTATTTATTTTTCATATGATTTTCTAAAAAAAATTATGTACTTCTAAATCTCCAGATGCTACTAAACTACTAAAAACTCATCCAGATATTGTAAATAATGGAAGCAATGATGTAAATACATTAAAAAAATAATTTATTAAAGGACTTTTTATTTCATTTCATTAAGAAACATAATTATTATAAGGGAGTGTCGGCTTACATACAGACTAAAAAAAATTAATAAAACGGAACACAAATACTAACACTCCGGTGTCCGTCTGCATGTCGACAAGATTTCGAAATATGAAGGGCCGATGTTAATTACTTTATCGTAAGCTCAACATTTTGTTACACCTACATGTTACCATCATAACAAAAATACATCATTGGAATAAAAGATACGAGACAATTTTGAAAGACTAGATGTAGATGGGAAATTCCGCTGACACAAAAGTAGATAGAATAAGGTATCATCAGATTAACCTATCAATACATGATAATCATTTTTTATAAAAACCCCTACTGGGTGGCAATAAGTCAACACAATAATATGAAGTCCATCGTTGTTCTGACGGCACTCGCAGCATGTAAGTACCGTAAACTCAATTAATATATTTAAACTTACGCCAATTAGTTATAATATCATGTGTATGTATGTATATATTGATTAGGATTTCTTTGTTTATTTAAAATATATTTATTACTAGCTTTTGCCTGCGACTTTGTCCGCGTGGAATAGTGACTTCCGGCAGAAAAGTATAGATAGCTGTGCCCGCGACTCCGTCAGCGTGTAACTCCTTGTGTATTAAGTTAATGAATGGAGTAACTTCTCCTGTTTTCCCAATATTTTCCTTCACTGCTCTGCTCCTATTGATCGTAGCATAATGAAAAGTATACTATAACCTGCCCAAGAGTATAAAGAATAATTGTGCCAAATTTCGTTAAAATCCGTCGAGTAGTTTTTGTTTCCATAACGAACATACAGACAGACAGACAGACAGACAAAAATTTTACTGATTGCATTTTTGGCATCAGTAGCGATCCCTAACCACCCCTTGATAGTTATTTTTTAAATATATTTTATGTACAGAATTGACCTCTCTACAGATTTATTATAAGTATAGATATAGATGAATGGACAAAAATTAGGAAACATTAATTTGTAAGATATATGTATAAAACACGGTATGGTGCGGTGGTCGAAGTGGGTCAACATTTAGAATTGGAGACAGCATTTTATTTCGTATTTAACAAATTTTACAACTCTTGTCAGTAACATAATGAGAAAATTGAAGGTAATAAAAAGATCTAAAATTTATTTTAAACACTTCTTTATTTTCTTTGAAAATATTGAAATCTCTTTGATAATGAACGACTCTGAATTTTGAAAATGTTTTAAAAATCGAGCCACTTGTTCTACTTTCATGTGGCGTGGAATATTTTTTTTCCTAAAATGCTCGTAAAATGTTCTTTGCGGTGCTCTGGTGCCAAAACTACTAATATTACGAAAAAAAATATCCAAACAGTAAATTAAAAAAATATTGTAAGTAGTTCAATTTTGTACTCAACATCTTTCTCGTCAAATTTACAGAAAAAGAGATATTATAAAAAAAAATATTTTCGAATGCCATTTTTTAAGATGGCGGTTAAAAACAAAGCACACGTACAAAGGTGAAAAATGGAAATCGAGAAGAGCACAATAAAATTTACAAAATAGCTGATTTTCAAAATTCCCGTAAATCTTTCCGGGTAACCCCCCTATATCTTGCTTAAAGAAAAATCACAAGACATGTTTCGACCCACGAGTCGCAACATTTGTTTGAAAATCATGTTGGTACCAGTAGACATCCAAATAATGGGTTGATCGAACTAATAGTAGTATGCCAGAAACATTTTACCACTTTCAAATGAATGACGCTTGCATTAGCTCACACTACAACAACCTTATAAAAACCTTCAGTCATGCCTAATCTATATCAGCGATATCTCAATTGATTAGTTAATGTTAAGAATATGACGTTTCTCTTTTGGTTTTAGTGTCTCTTAAGTTGTACACATTTATTTATTTATTCTTTTCCTTGTATTGTAAATACATACAATATTATAACAGGATATGTGTCTTAAACTTAAGCTACAGTATTCTAATATTCAAGATGGTAAATAATCACTAACTCTATTTACGTTATTTTAGTATGCTCCGGCCATATCATTCGCGATACACCGGTAGACAATAGTCACTATGTGGAGGGAGTGAGCCGCTACGTGTGGATGCCTGATGCTGAAGGAAACTCCGTACTGGTTGACCTCGACGAGCCAGTTGACGAAGAAGTACTGAACGCAGCCAGAAATGGAGCAAACAACCAATACTGGCTATTCACCCGGTTTGTAAACATATTACGTGACTACTAAACAAGTTCTCCTCCTCTATCACGTCTAAATACATTTTATTTTACTAAAATGATTATGTAAATTATATTAATTACTCACATTTTGAATGACATTACACGTTTGCGTATTTCAGGAGTAACCGTCATAATGCTCAAGTCATAACCCACAATAATGTCAACTCGATTAGGAACTCTAACTATAATGGTAACCGACCCTTGAAAGTTATCGTCCACGGATGGAATAATAATGGAAACACCGAAATGAACCCTCTCATCACACGGGCTTTCCTTGACGTCATGGACTGTAATGTAATTGTGGTCGATTGGCGCGCTGCTGCTAACTCAGCCTACAGCACCGCCGCTGATGCAGTCCCCAGTGTGGGACAACACCTCGGAGACTTCCTCACCTGGTTAATCAGAAACGGTGGCGGTAACTGGAACCAAGTACATTTAGTTGGATTCAGTCTCGGTGCTCATGTCGTCGGCAATGCTGGCCGTAGAGTCGGAAATCAACCAGCCCGTATTACCGGTAAAATAATTATTTCTAACAAAGTTACTATTAGTAAGTTCTATAATTTGAAGTCTATAGTCTGATTATTTTTTACTCCATGGCAGGTTTGGATCCCGCTGGCTATCGATGGCATAATAACGCTAACCGATTGGCTGCTGGTAACGGTAGATACGTAGAAGCTATCCACACTGATGGTCACGGCCTTGGTATAATGAACCCCAGTGGACACGCTGACTTCTACCCTAATGGTGGTAAAAACTTCCAGCCTGGTTGTTGGACTAGCTACTGCTCTCATGGTCGTGCTACGGAGCTATTTGCCGCCACTGTTCGTCACAATCATTTGATTGGTAGACAGTGTCCCAACATCTGGGAAGCTGAACTCGGAACATGCAATGGAGCTTCCTTGCACATGGGTAACGCACTCTTGAACAAGCGTGGGTAAGTAATATTCATTTGATTAAATACCTGTTCTCAAAGGCTTCTTTTATGTTATTGTCAAACGAGCAGACGTATCACCGAATGGCAAGCAGAACTTTTTAATTTGCGTAGCCATAATCATAGGAGTAAACATTAATTGTAACAACTACTTCCCAACTCGACTTTACGCTGTTACTTTGAATTCCTTAAAAAGAATAATACATATCTAACTACTCAAATAACAAAATATATTAAATTATTAAGAAAAATAATATGCTATAACTAACTTTTATTTCCAGAAATGGTCTTTACGCTCTGAGAACCGGATCAAGTGCTCCTTTTTAAAATATAACTCCTACATAAATTAAAATAATGTCAATATGGTAACAATGAATTAAAGAAATGTTCGAATAAAAGTGTTTTATTTAATTCCATAAAAATAGTACCTACTGTGGAATTTAGTCGTATTACAGGTATTCAGATTTAAAAAAATACAGAATAATGTCTAGTTTATTTACCACAAAATTCTGTTACCTTTACTTAATCCCCTTTCCTGGAAGACCTTCATCTGTGTTTCTAAATAAAGGGGCCTGACAAAAACGTTAAACTCATTAGAGGACTGACCGATAAACTGACACTTTTAATTTTGTTTGAAGTTCAGAAGTGCCTTCTTGAGTACAATCAAGTCTAATTGAAATAAATGATTATCCAACAACATCGAAACAACCGAGCACCAGACATCTCTAAAATATGTACCCGATCTGGAAATTGACCCTGGCGAATACTCATGTAATGAGCGTGATTTACCACATTATCGATTAGAGACTTAGTTCAGTTTGATCACAAGGCATAATATTTAGTCATTTGCTGTAATTTTATTTCCGAAAACACATCGAACTACATTCATTATGAACGACGATCAAGTTGGGAGAAGGTACAGGATTGAAACACTGAATTAAATTTTATTAGAACATAACAATCAAAGTGCTTGCTGCATACATTTAAATAATGGCATGGCTGAGCAGGGAGTCGAATCTAATATTCGAGAAATTAAAGTAAACTGCGGGTTGCAGCATTGTTATAAGAAGAATAGGTTTCATCATACGGTTTGTTATATTATTTCTTGTTTAATAAAAAAGCATCAGAAATAAAAGAAAGACGATTCATTTTAACGTTTCCTTAAAACAGTACAACGACTATAGTTCAGTCACTTCTGCATTAGACAAAAGAGGTTCATAGAAGCAAGTGGTATGCTAAACATAAGAGTTTCATAAAAGCAATACATAACAAAATTTCCAACTACATAATAAAAGACAATAACTAATGTTAGATCATGAAACACGTTGCGACGATAAAATTGAATATATCGTACTCTCAACTTTACTTCCTATGGGCGCAAGGAACAAAATTATTCCATCACACGCTGACCGATCTCTCTTTTTTTTTTTTTATGGCATAAGCCGGTAAACGAGCAGACGGATCACCTGATGGTAAGCAATCGGCGTCGCCCATGGACACCTGGAACACCAGAGGCGTAACAAGTGCGTCACCGGCTTTTTGGGGATTAGGAGTTTGAGGTTCGTTGGGGATTCAGGGATTGGGGAGATTGAGGAAGGGGAAGGTAATTGGGCCTCCGGTAACCTCACTCACACGACGAAACACAACGCAAGCGTTGTTTCACGTCGGTTTTCTGTGAGGCCGTGGTATCACTCCGGTCGAGCCAGCCCATTCGTGCCGAAGCATGGCTCTCCCACACTTAAAACAGTAACGTTTCCTTAGTATATAAATAAAAAATTACTTTTATAATTTAATATAAAACATAATAGGTACCTATAATACAATGAAACATTATCTTTACCTACATAGCCATTTGATCATTATAAAATAAGTACTAAATACTTAAATCAATGAAATAGATTATTCAAAAAATAAAGATACCTAACTTAGATTGAAGTCAATTAAAAACATTATAAGCATAATATAACATCACGCCTTTTTATCCCCGAAGGGGTAGGCAGAGATGCATATTACGACACTAAATGCCACTGTACAATGGAACACCCATTTTTCACTATTTATGTTATGAGTCCCATGTAATAAGGGGTGAACCTATTGCCCTATACCGAGCACAATTCAAGACTCCGTGCTACTACAGAGATTTTTTTTTAAAACCCATTAATACATTGCCCGAGCCGGGAACCCGAGAACCTTGCCCGGCAGTTGCACTTGCGACCACTCGGCAAGCGAGGCAGCCATATAAAACATTCTATGGCGCATTAATCAGTTTCCTACTCACGAATCGTACAAAATATACACAATGTAAGGCAACAAGAAAGTTATTTAATAATAACACTGAATAATTGTAATTACGTAATGTAGTGGAAAATATTACGAATACTGACAACATTTGCTTTATTTTGGCATAAAATCATAAAATTCGCTACTCAAAGAACAATGGCAAGTTCCCATATGTACACTTTACCTGTAACCCGTTTGAAGCGTCTATGTCCGAAAAAATGTTAAAATCATAGGGGATCTATTACTAAAGCATAATCATCAAGAATTTTAATTTAAGAAGGCTATAAAAAAAAGATATTAACATTTTTATATTTTGAGGTTATGTTACTGTAAAAGTAACTTCGTAGACTACAAAACTTAATGTACCTAATGCATTGATGCAAAAACAAGAAATGCGATGTGAAAAAAACATCGTTAGGTATACCTAGATTGATTCAAGTCCACGTTAAAACGTGATAATATTAAAACTATCACAGTTATAACAGTGGCGGAGAACCTAACGGGTAACCGGGGCTCCGGCTCGACGTGCAGGAGAAAGAACGGGTTGGTTTTTAGTCAGTAAGAGTCTGACACTCCCTTCCGCCTCACACAGGCGTGAGCAGTAATTCGATGATTATCCCCCCTTAAAAAAAAACCTGCCAAAAAGGTAAGCTTTTATAAGGAAATATGAATAACAGCATTTAAGGGTTAAATAAAACAGGTTTCAAGATTTTAAACCATTTATTCATCTTCTCGTATTACTATATCGTCTAGGAACCCTGCCGGTGCTGATAAATTGTTCTGATGCCTGGCCCATCCAAGATACCACACGAACTATAGTTTGTTGCGCACACGTGGTGACCCACCACGTGTGCGCAACAAACTACAGTACGCCGACCAACCAAACAGTTACAGCAGTATTCCACTAACTATACTGGATCTGCCGGTACTATTATTAATTAAAATATAAACATAGCACTGCTTCCTAGAAATGTGACGCGATTTTATTTTTCCTCTTATTAAAATCGTTTCTTTACTGCCTCGTAAATTGTATTTAGAGGAATTTATATTTTCATTGCACATTTCAATCCTATATCCGCCATGGAAACGTATATGCTCGCCATAGTACAATCGAGCTTGACGTATTTGACACATTCCCAAGGCGAATAAAAGCACACAATGAATTACCAGTGTTGGCTGCCCTCTTATAATCTGGCAATATTTTTATTTCTATTGACCGGCCCGTGTCTGCAGCTCGAGGATTCTGATGAACTGCATTATCCTGTAATAGATTTTCATTTTGGGGCATTGCTTCAGGTGGTCTCATTTCATCAACATGGTTGATACGAAGAGCTTCTCTCATAGTTCGCAACCAACAGGCATGACACACCTTATCAAATGATGTTAGCTGCAACGGAATGAAAATAATGTTAGTTACAAAACATCTAAGAAGTTATTATAATAAGTGTAAGAAGTAATATTATTATTTTTATAACAATCTTTTATATTGTCCAGCCTCACTATCTTGTTGCAAATTCTGGTTTACTGCAACCATAGCCAGTTCCCAATATGCTTCAGACATAATCATCTTCGGTAATCTAAAAAATAAGAAAAACCATAACTTTTCTAGTATTTTACACAGCTTTGAAAATATGCTACTGTGTCTTTTTTGACTAAAATGAACTATTGTGTGTCAAATAGAATGGTTTAACATAAAGACAGTCTTACTGAAGTCGCAAGCAGTACAATAATAAATTACTGGTCAATTATCGAGTCGTACACGATTTGAAGATGGTTTCTCTCCAGTAAAAAGTTATAGCTACGAAATATTCTTATAAATTATAGTTTAAAAACTTACGATTTGTGGATAAACCCAGTTGCAGATCATGGTACACACTCTTGTGTTTTGATCTAAGATCCGATATCGCCGAAGGGTATTGACGCAAATGTTGCAATTCCCGCACAAAATGCGTGTAAGCCTGTTACTTCGCATCTTCACAAAAGAATTGAGAAACAATCGAGTCCGTTTTGGAAAAGCAATAGTAATAGTGTACTTATAGCGCAGATCGTCCGTGAGAAAGCAAAAGTTGTCGTATAAAGTCGCAGCGAATCAAGTCCAGGGGTAATGCGAGGGTCAAAATTAAAGATAACTCACGAAAAACGACGAAAAGAACAAGAACAATATTATACCAAAGCAAGCTTTGTGAATAACGAAGTTTTTACGACATTTGACAGTACCACTTAGTGTTGCCATTACATTTTCTTTTAATTACTACTAATGATGATTGTGATATCAAAATAAATATATAAAATCGCGACTTCTTTCACAAAATAACAGATCTAACCAATTCTTATATGTTAGTTAACATTACAATGATTTATTTTTGGGTATTGTTGGTTTATATACGACTTTAACATTTTTTTTCGACTTAATACTTTTTTATATTTTTTTTTTATAAATGGTAACTCTAACAAACATCAACCAAAACTAGCACCGTATATAAATACAATTAATAACTTATTTCTCAATATGAATACTGAGGCTTTTACGTTTGAAACTAAAATCGTATAAAAAGCAATTTAATTACCTCATTACGTTTTTCATAGGTCTCGTTTATAGACGCTTCTAAAACAATCCAGGTATAATCTTGCCATTGTTCTTTATGTTGCGCTTAAATATAGTTCTGCCCCTATAATAGGTACTAAAACTGAGTAGTGTTTTATTATTCGCGTGTATGATTTTTAACAGGGAGTACTAGTCTGGAGTACTACTACCCAATTGTAGATGGTCAAAATTAGCTTGAATTGCTATTATAAATGCGAAAACTTGTAATTTTGTGTGTATGTTTATTCAAAGTGTTACATCAAAGCGGCTGAAGAGACCGGGATGGAACGGAGGTAGATTACAGTCTGGAGTAATACATATGCTACTTTTTATCCCCGGGAACGCGGTTGAAGACACTGTCAGAACCTAATATTATAATGTAGCCATGTCTTGATGCTGGTAGTACCTAATATATTAGTACAGGTACTATGGAAAATACAACAATACAGGGTGACATGTAACTCGACGTATTCCTCTCGGGAGGTGATAATACAACTAA